AGTCAGTAATATGATAGCAGTCTCATGCTCCTGGCATTGTCGGGGATAACCAGGTTCAGAAAGTTATCTCTGTTAGCAGTCTGTTTGGGTTCCTGTGGTCAGGTGGACATTGACCAGTGAATGTTTTGGAGAATCCAGAAAGTCAACTGTAAACCTCATTGATTTCACCATTAGGACAGGAAGGAAGAGCAGGATAGCAGATCAGCAGGCATTTTTTACTTTTGATGCATTTTCCATGGAAGGGGGGAGTTTATGAAAATCTGTTCTGCTCTGTCCCGTTTTTACTGTAACATCCGCTCTTGCTGTTCCAGATTTGCACAAATCTGGGCACGTTTTGGGGTGAATAAATTATAGGACACCATTTAATTGATGTTGGACAGGCACAGCAGGATACTTGAAAAAATCAACAGTGTGAGTAATCCAAGTAGACTTCCTTTTTTAATTTTAAAATGAAACAGTGTTTAGTTGCGAGGTTAGTACTTGAATGGATGATCACTTGAGCGTACCTGGTATTCTGTGCTTGTTCCCTGTCTGTAAATAGGCAAAGGCTGCTTTTTTTGTGTGGGTTTTGGTTTTTTTGTTTAAAAAAAAAAAACAAGGTTTTGTGAGGGTATTTTGCCTGGTGGTCAATTATAGGAGACCTGGATTTGATTCTTTTTTCTATTATCTCACTTAATGGAGTTTCAATGAATACAGTAAAAATAAGATTAGCCTGCAGCTATTCTACTATGTCAGATCTCATAAGCTTAGCAAGGTTACATTTGACCACTACATAGATCAAAGACCTCCAAGGAAAAAAGGAAACAGGAGGTTTTTTCTAGACCTATATGCTTAGGTCATGTCCTGTGCTGTCTCGGGCAACTGCATCATAAATCATTAGAAGCCTAATATTTTCAGTTCAGTGAACTGGAGCTGCTATTTCATTACTTAAGAAATTCACTTTCTGTAGTTCTCTGTACACTGCTTCCCAGCCTATTCATTTTATGTATATATTTGAAAGGTTAAAATCACAAAATAAATTAAATTCTTTAGATCTTGTGTGTGTTCAATTCTGAAATTATTTATGCAGTCCAAAATACTGAGCATGACATTTTTCACAAAGTTCTAATTTTGCTCTTTTGTGTAACTGTATATTGTGATAGAGCATTTTTTTAATCAAGTTACCTCAGTGTAGTTACAGAGGAACATAAGAACTTAGAACTTGAAGAAATCTCTTTAGTCCTGCTGATTTGAGTTTCATTTTTAAATGATTCAGTAGTCCTTCTTAAAACATGTTATTTTGTTGGCTAGACTTTTTGCTAATTTCTAGATTACATGTATTAATAGCCAGTTTATACCTATTTTCTCTTGTGACAGATTTTCCTTTAGTTTAAGTAGGTCTTTTACCTCCTTGTTGTTTACCCCAATGATGCATTCTTGGAGAATGATCTCTCCCTTCTCATCATTTGGGTGGCTTCTTCATCCTAGCAAAATGTTGTTAGTTTCCTCTTCATAAAAAAGACTGCCCTAATCATCCTAGTCACCATTTTTCACACTGTTTTATTTTAGATAACTCTTTGGTCAACACGGGTGAACAGTTGTCCGCATCTGGAATTGTGTGTACACCTCACTGGAGAATTGTACTTCTCTACTGGAAACACCTCTCCTGATTATATTTTAGGATTGTATTTTTATTTTTTTTACTCTCACATGACATTTGTGGCTCATAGTCTTGCTATAACCATTTAATAAATCTAGGCCCTTCTCTTTAGCTTCCAACAAATGTGTTCCTAGCTTAAAGCAGAAATTTCTATTATACACTAAGTACATATTGTATTAATTAATTTAATTTTGTTCCTACTACACCAGTCTTTAAAGTATCCCCAGTTGTCTCCCCACTAATACCTTCTCCCCAGCTTGATATTTCCTCTTTCAAAATTACCCATTATTGTCTCCTCTTTACCTAGTACTTTGTCTACCCTGCAATTCTAGTGCTAATCCTCACAATATTTTCCTATGTGGCACTATGTCAAATGCTGAATTCCAGATAGATAAAATCTATTGTATTTCCATTGTCTAGAAAATCAATCATCTTATCAAAGATGTGTGGTTAGTCTGGTACAGTCGACCTTTGGTAAACATGCATTGCGTTTTATACCTTTTTCCTTTTACTTGCATGTGTTTAATTATACTTTACTTCAAAATTTGTTCTAAAGGCTTGCATACTATTGAGATGAAACTAAGGTATGTTTTTCCCATTTTTAAATATAGATGCTATGTTTTGTGATTCTCTGGTACTCATAACTTGAGAGGTTTATTAAAAATCCTTGCTACTGAATTTAGTTTCGTATTCTGGTTCTTTCAGAATTTTAGCATGGAGATTATCTGTGGTCCCCCCAAAGTTAATTGTGCTTTTGAATTTTACTTTAACTTCAGATGCGTTTGTCTGTTTCAAACACTCAGTAGTTTTCTTGCTTAGTCCTTAAATATCATTGCTCTTATTGAAAGCCAAGCAAATTATTTATTTAATTTCTGGGCCATATGTAGATTAGTTTAGATGGAATTCAAGATAAATCTGAGTTCACTCTGGTGCACATTTTATTGATTCTCCAAACTGAATCACATTGGCAGCTTCACTCATAACCAGTCCTGCACCATCATCTGAAAAGCACAGTATGAACCCAACTCACAAAACCCCTCATTGTGCATTACAATACCCATTCATGTCATATTGGCATGGCATTTCTTGCCTCATATACAAGCTCAGCAAGGGTACTAAGGAAAAAGTCAGGAGTGGTTGATTCCATGTGCAGGCATTCAACAGTCAGCTAAGCACAGTTTAAGGCTGTTGTAATGTTTAAAGGACATGTCTAGGGCAAAGGAGATGGTTAGGCACCTCTCCTGAAGCTGAGACAGAGTTAGAGCTCTGCAGGGCATTGTTTCCCCAGGGTCATTCCATGGTTATCTGTTCTAGGAGGTCCACATGTGCTTTGTGTAGTGCAGCACAGTTGTGCAAGGCGTCAGGCCAGGTTTGATGCCAGAGGGTCTGTGAGCCTGAGTCGTCACAGCAGTATATGAGCCCAGCATGTATAAATAGTGAAGCCTGTGCAAGGTCATGGTGCCCATCTTCCATTGCTGACTACCTGGGTTGGTGAGATAGGTGAAACATAGTGCTAGCACCTGTTAGATAATCAGGGGTGCCCTCTGTGTTGTCATTCCACTGTGCACTTGCCCATGCCAAACTGGCTAGTTACAGATCAGAAGTTGCCAGGGATTATGAGCTCCCAGACAGTGACAGTAATGCACTTTTCCATGGCAAGGGTATTCTTAGGCTGGTGCCCTATCATGTGAATGTGGATATTTCTATGAAGTTCTTCTCTCACTGCTAGTCATCCTACGTCTGCATGATGATGTGTTCCCAGCAGTTGATGCTCACGCCAGTACACGGTCTGTAAGTGGTCCAGGAATTTCCCCCATTTATCATGATGTCTAGAATGGCATAGTCTTCATCAGCCAGGTAGCTTTTGGGGGATAAGAACCAGGAAGCAGAGAACTTGAATGCTTATGGCCAAGACTTTGGTCATTTCCATGTGACTGTATATTGGTGCTGTCCTCCAGGCTGGACAGGATCCAAACGAAGGCAGTGGCATGCCTAGACTCTGCTAGCAGGTGTACAAGACACATGTGACCTGCTGCCACTGCTGGATTGGGAGCCACACGGTGCTGCATTCCAGGCTGGGAGTGTAATTATGATAAGCCTTTGAGAGTGGAAACTGACCAGGGAAGCTGTGCCTCTGCCTTCCCCCAGCTGACAAGTCCATGGATGGGCACAGTCCCCAGGTGACCAACCAGTCGGGACTTCCCTCTGTGCTTGACCTGTCCTTGGGAACCTCTGAAGATGGGGGAGGGAGACAGTCCCCCGCAAAGCACACTGTGCTCTCAGCAAATGGTCCCCTTGGCTGTGGAGTGCTAGCAGTACATGTTCTAGCAATATTTTTGCAGCACTCTGGACAGCTGAGAGCTTGAACGGGTGCCCATGCCTGTCATACCACATTTTTGAATTGCTGCAAATTTCCCAGAAATCCTTAGCACTTCAAATGAATGTCCGTTCATGCCCTATGACATCATTAAGGTATACCACCTTTACCTTTTTATCCATATTCCCTGAACAGTGTTACAATTTGATATCTGAGTATAGTTGATCAATATGTGTATATGTACCTCTGAGAAATAGAAAATGTGTAGTTTTTATATTTGTTGATTGCAAAACCATGTTTCTCAGTAGGGTTTATAACAATTTTTTTTTGTATATGAAGTTTTCTACTTGCCTTTAATGAGCTGGTAGCAGAACAAAATTTCATCCTTAAGCAATAATCATAGGAAAGACCGTGTATAAATGCCTTTAGATCATGCTGTTAAAACCTGAAATCCTCTCATGCATTAACATTGACCTACTTTTCAGGACATCTTTTCTGGGTGAATGGTTAAATGCACATTTGGTATATGTGTCAAATCTACAATACTCACTGTGGTTGAATAGTTCACATTAAGGATTTCTTGCATTTTATGATGAATTACTTAAGTGTCTCATTTTAAAGCAACATCAGGGAAATGTCTTATGTTCTAATATCATTTGTATCAATTTGCAATAACTATAGGTATTTCTTTCTTAATCAAAGAAACTGTTAATTGTTTGGGTTTTAGATTTATGGGGAGGTGGACATAGTGCATGGTGCTAAATTTACCCAATATTAGTATTCTGTTGAATAATGGGCCTAAGGTACAATTCTGAGATGAGTGCGCATCACTGAGTTGCAGACATCTGGAACAATAGTTAAGAAGGGCAAGGTAGGCACTTTGTTGGAATGCCTGCAGTGTCGTGCCTTGTCCTTGCCAGTTGTCTTATAGTACTGCAAACAGGAGATTTACAGGATTGGTGGCAATAAATTTGCTGTTTCTTATTAACTTTGGATAAAATTCTGCTACCTATAGTTTGACTTATTTTTTCCCCTCTTCCCCAGAGTAAAGATGGGAAAACACCATTGCACATGACAGCAATTCATGGTAGATTTTCAAGATCCCAAACCATCATCCAGAATGGTAAAAAGAAAGGGTTTTTTTTTAATGTACATGATGTTGAAATGTTAATGGTATTTTCACTTTCTAAAATAGCATATTTACTTGAATATGAGACAATGCCGTTATAATATTCCAGGTGTAAGATCTACTTATTGAAGGTTTGCCTTGACTTTGTCTGCCTCCTACTGCTACAACAGGGAAAATAAATCTGTGGAGGGGAGCCCCCTTGCCCACCCCCCTCACTGTCAGACCTTGTTCTCCCTGAGCACCTGGAAATGAGGTGCAAATTTGAAAACACTGAACTTTCAATGATATACCTGTAGTAATTTGCATATTGGCTAATTACTGTGGGTACCCTTAGACTTGGTTCATCCAAAATTGATGCATTTTTACCTTTTTTGAAATTGCAGGAAGTTTTAGCACAGGTACTTCATTAACACACTTATAAGCAGCACTTTTTTTACCTATTTATACATAGTACAAACTATACATGATATTAATCCAAAGCTGAAAGGCTCATGATTTATCAAATAGTTCATTGGACTGGGCCCCAGCACAGTCAACAGCATTTCAGGCCATGATGACCCCATAGCTCAGCACTGCTCCATATGTGTGTGTACTCCAGATACCCTCTTCTACCCCCCCAAAAGGATCCATGTGCTAATTAACGCTCCCCCCCCCCACTCATGACTGGAACAGGGTGTTCTTGTCATGAGTTCTCCAAAAATGGGGTCCTCCAAAAATGTTTATGCAGATAAGGTACAGGGCAATCTGCTCCAGCTCTGCCTGATGGAGGGTGTGGCTACACTAACCATACATGACAGGCTGAGATAGGGACATCAGAGGAATTTTGGATGAACTGTTTGTGGCCCTGTTTGTTAATGTTCGTCAAAAATTTAAGGTAGGTGAAGAAACGGGAATCATTAGAAATGGGAAATAAAGGCACAGCTCAGCTGTAGAATTGAAGAGGAAGTTGAAATTTATGCAGTCGTAGCTCACCATGACTTAGAGTTGGTGCTGATGGGACTTGGCACAATGGGCACTACCATATATCTTACTCAGGCTACAGTAACCCATCCTTATAGTAGGGTCTCATAAGCATATTTGCCCAATATGGGCCATGTGTTTTATAGTCATGCTCAGTGTTGGCTACATTTAATCATGTTCATAGTTAGTTTCCATTACTGAACACATGCAGTTTAATGATAGAGAATGTATTTAATGAGGCTTCCTTGCATGTGAATGTAAGACAAGGAGCCCTTTTCTTCCATACTGATGGGGGGAAACCTCATCTTAAATTTGAGTAAATATGGTAAGTGTGTTCTGAAATACTTTGGCAGACGAGGTTCTTTGAGTAAAAGTGGTATCTTTTATTAGACCCAACTGAATAGTTGGAAAACTTGTTCTTTGCAAGCTTTTGGGCACAAATACCCTTCTTCAGGCATAGGGGGAGTCTGATGCTGTTTTGTGTTCTCCTGGATGGAATAGAAGCCAATATGACAAATGCAGGCCTGTGAAAATCCAAATGTTTGGCAGTGAGGATCAGAGGCCATGGGGGACAATAGATATAAGATGGGAGGTGGGGAGGGTTGGGGAATATTGACCTGGTGATAGAATATAGCTGGTAAAACTTAGAGCGGTTACCTGGGGTTATCGGATGGCAAGCAGGGTTATAATGTGCCATAAATCCAGTGTCTATATTTAGTCCATGATTTTTGTATCCAGTAGATTTATGAAGTTGAGTTTGTAGGCTCATCTGTGAAAGGTGCTTTGTAAATTCCCTTTGAGGACTAGAACTGAGAGGTTGGAGAGAGTGGTTGTCTTGTGAGAAGTGTGCACCCACAGGTAATTGGTCATTTTTGTCTTTGATAGATTTTTGGTGTGCATTCATTCTGGTGTGCAACTGTTTGGTTTTTCCTACATATTTTCCATCATTTAGCCCTGATGGCAAATCTCTCTCTCTCTCTCTCTCTCTCTCTCTCTCTCTCTCTCCAGTCTCACAGTTTTAATCCTCAAAGGTAACCTACAAAACACCTTTGGTAGATGAGCCTATGAACTTCGCTTCATAAATCTACTGGTTACAAAAAATCATGGGCTAAATAGAGATAATTGAATTTATGGCACATTATAACCTGCCTGCCATCTGATTACCCCAAGTAACCTCTCTACATTTTGCCAGCTACATTCTATCACCAAGTCAACATTGCCCCCTTTTTCACACCTACCTGTCTCTCACCTATGGCCTCTGATCTTCACTGCCATGCATTTTACATTTTCACAGACCTGCATTTTTGCATACAGGCAGTCCTCGTCTTACAATGTTTTGAGTTGCAACGTTTCACACTTACAACGTTTATAAATTGACACCCTGTTTCAACTTTCTGACGTCAGTTTCGACTTTACAATGCTTGATCCGACGTGACGCCACACCAACGAACAAGTTTGCTGCATCACCCATCTCCCTGGAGAACATCTGTCCAAACTTCCTTGGACACTTTCCTTAAGAAAGCAGACAAGACTCCAGAAAAACCTGCAGCCAAGACTCCTGAGAAGACTCCAGCCAAGAACCCTTCAAAAAGTCCAACCAGGAGCCCTTCAAAAAGTCCAGCAAAGTTACCTCAAAGAAGTCCTTCCAAATCAATATGATTTCTATTTACAACATAAATACATTAATGTAGCTATATTACTCATCTATAATTGATTGAGTACAAAATTCTGGTTTGTTTTTGGTGAAAATAGGGTATCGGGCCTTGGTTCTAGAACCAGTCCCCCATTTATAACATTGTTTCCTATGGAAAATCTGTTCTGAGTTACAACGTTTCAATTTAAGATGCTGGTTTCAGGAACCAATTGTGTCTTAAGTCCGAGGACTGCCTGTATTGGTTTCTGTTCCATCCAGGAGAACACAAAACACCATCAGACTCTCCCTGTGCCTGAAGAAGGGTGTTTGTGCCCAAAATCTTGCAAAGAATAATGTTTCCAACTAATTAGTTGGTCTAATAAAATATATCACTTTTACCTAAAGAACGTTGTCTGCCTATATCCTTAGGCCAACACGGCTACAACAAACACTTCTGAAATACTTTGGCATTTTATAGCCAATGTTTCAGATTTTATAATCTGATTATATTCTTATAGACTGAACCCAGCTACATCTTGATTTTTTTCAAGATGAAAAAACATAGGTTTTCTATACAATCAGGTCATTGAAACTGTTTCCCTGTAAAGTCGTGGCAAGAGATTTACCGTTACTTAGCTAGCTCTTAGCATTGAATATCCCTTAAATATTTTAAATGTTTACACCAAAATAATCACATGCTGACATGTTACTATCACTTTATTTTGAACCCCATTTTGATAACAAATGTGTGTGCATGTGTATTCATATTAATTATTCATTTTATAGGAGCTGAAATAGACTGTGAAGATAAGAATGGAAATACTCCATTGCACATAGCAGCTAGATATGGCCATGAACTACTAATCAACACTCTGATTACGAGTGGTGCTGACACTGCAAAGTAGGTAACATTTACCTACTTGGACACAAGCTAAAATAGTTTAGAAATGTAGCAGTTGGATAAACTATAGTAATATATTATTTTTTCATATTTTGCAAACTTCAAGTTAGAAACCCTGTATCATAGGGTATGGACAAACATGCTTTATTTTAGTTTTCTTAAAAAGAAAAAGTAGCTGCTTTTTAGGAATGTGCAGCAGCTGTCACATCTGCTTCATCGTGTAGTTATAACAGTTGGTTAAATCACCTTAACATTGACCCCAAATGAAGAAGGATTGGAGCAGTTTTGCTGCCCTTGTGTTGCTATAGAATCATACAAACCTAAGTCTTGCATCCTGACCGCTTATATCTGTATCCTTTGATAGGCTTGTTGTTTTTGTCTATACCAGGGGTGGGCAAAATGGCGGATGTGCCTGGAAGCCAGACTCCATTTCCTAGCAGCCCCTGCCTGTATTGCTGCAGCCAGTTTCCATGGAGACCCCAGGAGGTGGGGCTGTGACAGCGCAGGGCCACAGTTTCCATGGAGACTGGCCCAAACAGCACTGGCAGAGTGCGGCTAGTCAGGGAATTGTTTGCGGACCCAGGCCAGGATTCTTTGGTGGTGACAGCATGGTCCAGAGCTGGGGGACAGCTGCGATCCGCTGCCTGCACTCCTCTACCCAGGGCTAGTGGTCAGCAGATCACAGCTCTGACCCATCTCCAGCTTGTGCTGCCACCACTGCAAAATGCTGGCCCTGGCACCAGCCCCAGAGCAGCTCCCCACACAGCTGCATACCCTGCCAGTGCTACTTGGGCCGGTCTCCATGGAAAACCTGGCCCCGCACTGTCATGGCCCCACTGCTTCTGGAAACCAGCTGCAGCAATGTGGGCAGGGGCTCCTGGGAAATGGAGTCTGCCACAGGCCTTATCTGGCCCGTGGGTCAGACTTTGCCCACCGCTGGTCTATACCTGCGGTCTTCCCAAGGACTTTTCCAGTAGAGCATCTTATTAAATAGGCACACTGGATTTTACACAGGAAAAAAATACTTGCTAATTTTGATTATTTGTAAAATATATGTTTGAGAGATGCAAAACAAAATCTCATCGTTTTTATATAAGTGTCACTCTAAATCAGGGGTGGGCAAAATGCGGCCCGGGAGCCAGATGCGGCCTGCCAGGCCATTCTATCTGGCCCGCGAGGCCCCTAAAAAATTTAGAAAATTAATGTTTATCTGCCCCTGGCTGCCTGTCATGCAGCCATTGATGGTTTACCAAAACTTAGTAAGTGGCCCTCCACCCAAAATAATTGCCCACTCCTGCTCTAAATGTATGTGTTAGGTTTTGATTAGATCAACTTTTTTAACATACTAAGAGATTTCCCAGATCTATCCATTCTAATTATGTGTAGTTTGGCATGCAGTCTTGTTTAGCTTTATTGTTATGGAACTGCGATGTCTGATTATGGTGTATCTTAGGCGGGGTATACATGGGATGTTTCCTCTCCATTTGGCAGCTTTAAGTGGATTTTCAGACTGCTGCAGAAAACTCCTTTCATCAGGTAGGATGATCTCTTTAAAATGTTTTGTTTACTTTATACATAATTAGTAATCCTCAGTGCTTTCAGTGTGGAATTAATATTAATGTCTTATTACAAAGTATATAGAAATGAATAGTTAGTTGACTTATAATTGAGGATCTGTACTAGATTCTTTGAATTACTAACCATAGTTAAGTTCACACTAGCTTTCTGTGGTAAGCCCCGATTGAAATCTTTTAGAATTGTACCAGGAGTGAAGCAGTGGGCATGAAAGCCCACAAATTTGATTTGCACAGTCTATAATGATTCAAAACACAACGTGATTTCAAAGAGTGAGGGAGCAAGACTCTAAAGTCTGTAAAACATAGTTACCCCCAGCCATCATGGCAGTCTAGTGCAATTTGGCTTACACCAGTGATACCCAAACCTGTGCCCCCCAGGACTCTAAATTGTGGTTAGCTGCATTAAGAAAATAATTATAGCATTGAATTGCATCAAGACCAAAACTCACTTTGGCTCATGCATTGTCTCCACTTGGGCCCAGGTAAATGTTAGCAAAGAAGGGGTCCTTCTCCAACATAACTAAGTAGGGAATCTCTGGAGGAGGGAAAAGGTTGAGAAATAGAAGATGAGAAATGGCCACAGTATAGATTTCCTGATTCTCTTCCCCAGCCCCAGCACAAAGTAAAACAGCTTGCTGGAACTTACACCAGGTAACAGCTGTCCTTTAGGGACTATATTCTAGCTAGGAACAGGAAGAGTACAGCCATTTTGCTTTTCTGTCCCCAACAGCCCCCTCTACTCAAGGTGCTACATTAGATGTATGCATACTTCAGACTTCCATAGGTCTAAGGGATTTTCAACAGAGGACTTGCAGGTGATTTTTTTCCTTATGTGAATTGGGCAGAGGGGCATAGTCCAGGTGAATCATCTTCCCTGAAGAAACAGCATTGGTCACTTTTTAAATATACTTGATCCTCAAACTGAACAGGTTGAATACTGCTATCCTAGAAACTTTTTTAATATATGGAAGTGAATATTGATACATATCTTTACTCAAAGTAAACCTCTCTTTTGTGGAGGAAGGAGAAATTGATTTACATGTATATTCAAAATCTTGAGAGATACTTAATTTGTCACCACTCTTTACAGACTTTGTGAAGTCAGTTTTGCCGCTGTGATGGATAGCCCTTAGGGAGGTTCCGATGTCAGGCAATTTAGTACTCTGTGGATAAACAGGATGGAGAATTATATCTGTTGGAAGGGAGGGAAAGCACCAGAATGGGGCAGTGGAGAAGCAGCCCATTTTAATATTAATAATGTAACTTAAGTTGGACTTGGGATGCAGGAAGTGAGGAAGCTTTGGGTGAGAAAGTAGTCTGGGGGAAAATGGAATTCATTCCTTTGCAGATCACTAGTTTTGGTCACTGAATCCTTAAAGTTTAAAAAATATGAATTCCCAGGCAAAAACAAAACTGGAGTTCTGGTCATAAGCATCTGTTACTCAGGAATAAAACTCTTAAAAGAATATTATAGTTTTCTCAAACCATAACTGTAGCTTGAACACTTGGTTTCTTCTTACTATTATTATTATAACCTCAATTTTAAACTAAGTATGGAATTGCACTGTTAAAGTCACTTTGGTAAAGACTATGAGGATTACAAGTTATCTGTGTTCCACCCTGCATGCCTGTGCACTTTGTGTAAAACAGATACATTTTGTGAAAGAATATTTGATAGGTCATTTATGAGAATATATGAATTGCCACACTGGATTTGGCCAGTGGCTCATCAAATTTAGCATCCTTTCCAGGTGTAGGCAGCAACTAAGTATTTAGGGGAAATATGTGAGAAACTTCTTCATTGAACATTTAAAGACTAATCTGCTCTTAAGAGAAGTTTCTTTCTAACCTCTATTAGAGGCTGGCTTATGCCCCAAACATGAATTTGTATATCTTAAAAAATATCATATAATGCAATTTAATTTTCTTGTTATTTTATATAATGCTTAATCCTTTTTTGAGCCTTATAAGACCTGAGCCTTCATAGTATCTGTGAAAATGAATGCTACAGGTTCATTTTGTGATAGTTTACAAAAGCGTTTCCTTTTACCAGTTGTACATTTCGTTGACTTTGACTAAAATTCCAGGTTAGATCTTAAGTTTTTTCTCCTGCATGAAGATGGGGCTTAGGGCAGAGGCAGTGCATGGCTTTCCGAGGGGGAAGATTTATTTCCTTCATTTTCACAGAGCTTTATATAAATCTCAATTCATCATCTTAAATTAGAGCAGGTCTTGAGCTATCTCATCTAATTTATGATAGCTGAGTGTATCTTATCTCAGTTCTCAACTGCAGTCAGTCAGACGAGCCCTGTCAGTGTATGTGGAAGCAGTTAATATAGGAGTTGATTCTGTCACCGCTCTAGATAAGAGCTCCTATAGGAAAAATCCAAAACTTTGTTTTCTACAAAGTTGTGATACATGAGCACTATTTTTCTTTTACGTGCCCTGTTCTGCCCCTCCTAATAACATTCAAGAACTATCTTAGCAAATCCCCAGTTATCCCTCAATCTACAAGCTTTGAATAATTTAGAAATTGATATGATTGTGGCTGGAGCACATGCACATAGTTAGCAGGGGAGTAATACTTTAACATGTAAAATTGTGACTACATGAAGTGGGTGTGTGGAGTATCTTACCTGAACATCCTGAGTATGGTATCTTTTAGCAAAGATACATGTTTGTGTCCACTGACTGTATAGAGACTTAAAAATATATATATATTATCTGCTGTAGTGAGAAAATCAACATGAGCAAAGCAAGACACTTAGATCATCGGTCAATTTTCATTGTCACTAATGCAATGGTGTATGGTTTTGAAGAGTTGTATAGTCCCTTGCATTTAGGAGCAAACTTAAGGCTGCTTTGGTGATCTTAACTGTGCATCTCCATACATTCCAATATTTGGGTTTAAGTAAGATCCTAAATTTGAATTTCCAGGGTTCTTACAACATTTTTGAGAAAACTACACCATTCTCTAAAGGGTATTTTTCCCCTTAAGTAACTGGTATTTACAACCTTCACTCCAGCTTAATGAAGGTCTTTGCCTGGGAATAGAAAACTAAACTGAAGGATGAAATTAATGAGAGTAGCTTCTGGATTTAGTAATGCTGACAGATCCACTCTTAAAATGATTGCTATGCAGAACATTGTATGTTAAGGTGAGTAGTACTAGCTTATTCTTAAACGTTGCTATTACACATTTTTTGCAAATTTTGTTTGGCAATATTTTTAAACAAAACCAGTAAGCAAAGATTATTCCATCAAGAACTTCTGCTAGCCCTAATGCCAGTTAGCTTACATTTTCATTGTCATTCCTCCTTATAAGTAGTCAAAAACAACATGGTTCTTGAAATACAAAATGCTGCTATTTGCAGTATTACAGATAGTGAAGGTTTTTTAAAAATATTTTGACATTAACTGTTCTAACAAATATAAACATGCATTATGGCATTATAACTTAGAAACTGCTGATAGCAATTTGGTGAAAGGGATGAATACTGTTTAGTGACACCATATATTAACTCTTTTTGTAGGCTTTGATATAGACACCCCAGATGACTTTGGCAGGACTTGTCTTCATGCAGCTGCAGCTGGCGGGTATGTAGCAGCATTGCCTTCAATTTTACTTTTCAACATTACTTATCTTCCTAGTCTTTTCTCTCATCTTTTTACCTCCTTGGAGGTAGGTAAATATGAATATAATTTAAGAACACAAATTTGTGAAATGCTATTTCTACTTGGTAATTTAATCAGTAATTTAATTAGTGGCCAAGCATAATCAGTCTTGTACCCCTTTCAGGTTTGGGATTAACATGGATTTATTATACAGGAGGTTTGCTAACTTCTAGAATTTACAGGCAGAACCATCCCTTGTGGGGGTGAATCGGGGTGACTGCCCTGTGCCCCACGCTTTGCGGGACCCCATGCACTGTGCCATACAAGCCCCGCCAGCTCCGCGCGCCGGCCATTTGCCAACCTCCCCACCCCAACACTGCACAGGCCCCACACAGCCTGATATGCCCCAGGCACTGCATGCCCCTAGGGTCGGTTCTGTATACAGGTCTAAATTGTGATATTTGCTATAGCCCTCTGTTTAGGCTATGCAGAGATCCATATGTAAAGGAGCATCGCAGACTGTGATGAGCCATGGAGCCATCTATTTTCTTGTCTTCCCAACAAGTTGCTTATGAGGAGAATACTGTGTCACTTCAGGTAGTCCTGAAATAAGATGAGCAAAACTGAAAGAAGGCTTCTTAACCCCCTTTTTCCCAGCACAGCTGTATGTGGGCGTACCACAATCTGCATGTATAATATGGAGCTGGTTTTCAATTTATGAATGTTTAGGCTGCTTGGAATCGTTAGTTGGACCCAGCTTGCCCAACATCTGTATAGATCAGGTGCTTTAGTGAGGCTTTTTTGGTGCTTTTATCTAACAGCTGATTGAATCAGCTTCAGATAAAAGCACCAAAAAGCTCCACTGAAGCACCTGATCTATATAGATGCTGCAGAGCTGAGTCAAAGTAGCACTCTGATTCTTTCAGTAAGGTGCTTTTTTTTAAATATCTGCAAGCAACCTTACTTATTTAGACAAGGTGCCTTCCAAAAAAAGAAGAATGTGTTGGATATTTTTATTGGTATGTAAAGGAAATAAAGGAAAATGTGAATGAAAACATAGAACAACTGGAGAAACCCATCAGTTAACCCAAAATGTTCATACACTGTGTATGGTCTGGATTTAAGTTAACCAGAAGCAAGGAAATACTGGCCACCAGTACTTGCTAATCAGTTGAATTATAATCCAGATTATTCATATGGTAGGAAAGCTTGAATTTAACTAGTCAATGGGCACTATAAGCAATTCTGAAAAAAGTTTAGGTCTCAATTATGCAACTAAATAATGTAAGTTCTTGAATGTTAAGCAAAGGAGTAAGCTTATTGAATATGAAGTGTGCATATAAATAGTTTTAAGGAGGTTCATAAATACATATTTAGTCAAAGTATGTAGTTAGTATAAAATTAGTATGCTGCATGTAAAATTCTTGAGTTCCTTTGGTTTTTGCCAAAGTCTACTTGAAAACACAAATATAAAAATAAACAGTAAACTCAAGTTAATATGCCACTGACTTAATTTGCTGCTGTTTAAATTTCCTGCCAGCACCGCTCTCTTCACTCCCATAATCAACTCTTAAAATTAGTCATTAATGGATAGTTTGTCATTATTTGCATTGTATTCCCCTTGAAATGGTGAATTAACCAGAATCTAAAATACAGTGGATCTTTGTGAGTAAAGGTGGGTGATATAATATGGGCAGTAGATCATGGTACATATTCAGGTGCACATTGCTTTAAAAACAAGTCAGGTTGACAGTGCTCCATGTACATCCTGTGTAAAGAACTCGTAAACAAGTGAGGTTTTTTAGTAAATTAAAAGAAATAGTAGCTTTCATATGCATATCTTATTTCACAGTGATAAAAGTGTAAAAAAAAAAAAATTGGGCTTGAATATAAAAACTGTCACTCATGATGTAATTTGACTTTCCTCCTCAGTTTTAAGCTTTGTTCCACAGTAGTATAACTTTCTTGTCAGTCTGATAATATTTTACATCTATTGTCAATAACGTTCATATTGCAGTGGTAAATTCATCGTTTGCATTGCAAGCTTTCTTTTTCATGAAATATATGAATAGATCTTGAACCAAACAAACAACATTTAGAAACAAAACTTGCTCTAACCTGAATTTTGGCTACAAACACCCGGCATGGAGTAATTTTTTTCCTTATTAATTTACAATTCTTCCAAATTAGGAGGGCTTTTCTATAGGAATTTGGGTTAATCTTCTCAACTCTTATATAATGTTAAGGGCCTTTGAAATCAACGTAACTTCCACCTTTGGACCTAGGATTATTTATGGGCTTTAGTATTTATTTTTTACACAACTTTTAAAGTTTGTTTTAAGTGGAATTTTTAATGTAAAATATCTCTCTTCCATCGCAGTTTAGTTTAGTTCTGGTAAAAAAGTTATGATAAATACCTAGGCAGCAATTCTGATATTTTGGAAAACACTGACTGCAAACTATATATTATTCAAGCAATGTGGCATTGTTACAGGAATTTGGAGTGCCTAAACCTTCTTCTCAACACTGGTGCAGACTTCAACAAAAAGGACAAATTTGGGAGGTAGGCCACAACGTTCAAAATCAAAGTAATGTGGTATTTTATTGAAATGCACATTCTATGTGAAGGAGCCCGTATTCCATTCCCCTACCCAGCTTTTTAGTAGTAGTGTAACTGATCAGGGAGCAGCTGTCCTGAGGACCACCCTTTTTTAGCCACTGCTATTGTCAGCATGATAGCTGCTGTGTCCCTGCGTGTTACTGCTGCCCTTTTGTACCTCTGGTTTTGAGCTAGGTATTATGGTATTCGTAATAAATGAATGGGAGTCCAGTAGAGGCACCTTAGCCAATTTTACCTGAGTATAACATACTAAAAGCCCCTGGTTGTTTTTGTTTTGTTATGAGAAGCTATTTATTTCCCTCTCAAACTCGCCAGTTGCTTTGATATGTTAATGCTTTTATAGAGAAATGTTATATATAAGGCATAATCTGATGCTTGCAGTGCTCAGCTGTGGAATTATTGAAGAATGCCCCAGTTAATGCATCTTCTTAGTGTAGAAGTCCACTTTATCATCTTGTGTCTGAACATTTTGCATGCATATTCTAAATAAAATCTGAATTCCACTATTAATATAGGTTACCATTTAGGTTCCTGTGTTTACCATTACTCTCTCCCACCTCATTTCTTCTTTCTCTTACTTCTGTCCTTAGCTCAAGAAAACTATATAAGTGCAGGCAGTGTGCAAGGCAGTGAAAGGAATCACTGTCCAAAAAGAATAATAGACAAGTAAACAGAGATGCCCTGGAAGAACCAGAGGCGAGAATTTATCATAAATATTTTTCACAGCATTAGCTGTGTTAAGAAAAGATTTAAAGGAATCTGATCCTACAGTCCACAGCCAAGCTATGCGCGTGGAGGTCAGGACAATCATCTGTTTATGAACTGTTTCCTTTTGAAACACCACTTGTGTTCTTGGCTGACAGCTGAGGGATCAATGGTGGGAGCCTCTTCTTTGAAGTTGCATGTAAGATTTTTAATCTGCTCATTATATTTGAACCCGCAATGAATTTATTTGAGGTCATTGCTGATGATGGAAGGATGACAAAGATCTGGAGAAGAGGAAAAAAAGGTTAACAAATAGGGAAGAAGGAAGGAAAAATGAGATAAGTAATGTAACTTAATGTAGGACAAAATTCTCACAAATGTCAAAGTCCCATTTTCAAAAGTAACTTGGACATCTGAATTTTTTATTTTTTTTGAGACTGGGACTTAAATCCTTAAGCCACTTAATAGCTTTTCAAATTTTATCAAAGACCTTTATTTTTGGGAATTGTGTATATGTTTTATGTTGGAAGGGTTTCTCTCAAGCTGTTTCTCCAAATAGTTTTCATTTGAACAGAAAAGTTCAACATTAAAAACCAAATTCACAATTTTTAACTTGAATTAGAAATTATTGAGCTATTTTTGGTATACTAGAACAGGAGGAAATGAGCAAATGATCCTTAAAGCTTTACATTTAGACCTCAGTTCTGCTCCCAAAATTCTGGTGAGCTTTCAAATACTGCTACAAGGAGTATCTACTTTGGATCTCTTCAGGCTGATTTAAATTTCTTCCTAAATCAACTGTCAAATTTGTTTAACCTTCATTTAGTGATTTTGCAGCACTGATGATTGAATAATTTTAAGTGAATGGTTTACCATTAAATTGTTAAGCCATTCAGTATAATTGTTATCTATTTTGCAAACAGATAAATTAACAGGAGTCATTATAACAAACTTCGTCTCCTCATGTGTACACTTCCCCTTAACACACAAGATGTGCACATATTGGCTGACAAACACATCTCCTGAACTGCTGTTGCATTTTTAAATGCTTCACTGGCAATAGTTTTAATTATTTATGTATAATATATTGAGATAAAGTAACATGCAAAATTAAACAGATTGTAAACAATTTTTACAATTTTTATTTTATTTTTAATTTGCTACATCATTAACCTGTTTTTGCTATTACTTAGTGCTTATCTCTTTTTGTGTTTTAAATGTATACTGCAGAACTCCACTCCATTATGCTGCTGCCAATTGTAATTACCAGTGCCTCTTTGCCCTTGTGGGATCTGGAGCTAGCGTGAATGACCTTGACGAGAGGGGTTGTACTCCACTGCACTATGCAGCTGCATCAGACACAGATGGAAAGTAAGTATTCTGTCTTGTACAAAAGGCTGAATAGTTAAAGGTCTCCCAGCTGCTATATTTTGTTGTTTTATATTCTGAAATCATATTGGCCAAATGTAATATTTGGATTTTTTTGAGCATGACTAAATGAAATTTGACTGGAATGTGAGCTCGTTAGCATTATAAGAAATATTTCTGTTTAAAGTAAGTTTCTTTTTTAAATGGAATAGTTACACTGAGGTATATTGTAATCTTTCTCTTTGATTTTTAATGGCATTATTTTAATTTGGGTTTTTGCTGGGTGTATCTACACATACAATTAAGCCAGAGTGATAAACTCCAGTACACGTTGTGCCAGAGAAAACTACTCCCAGGCACAGTGTTTACATGTGTGCCTGGGACCACAGCAATTTGACCCAAGGCAGAACAACTCTGCCGGATGGCAGTGTTGAGTTGGCTGGGTAACAAGAGTGCTACAGTGTGGGGCTAGGAGGCAAGCGGCCCCCACACTGTAGCACCCTCGTGCCCCAGCCAGGCCCTGTCACAGTCTACAAATGCATCACAGAACACATAACTACTCTACTCTGCTGTACGATAAGACTGTCCAGTACTGTGCTATCCTATGGCGGAGTTAATTTACTGTGCCCTAATCCAGCACACGTTGACTGTGACACTTTACTGCAGAGCTAGTCCATTCCCCAGTAAAGCGCATGTGTAGATGCACCCAGTGTAAAGAAAATTCCTAACCTGTACTCTGCACAAAGCTTGAGTAAATATAGCTGGTGCCCTGACTTATGAAACTACCTGATAGGTACAATTGCTAGAGGCCTTTCTAGTAAAAATTCCCATATTTAAATTCTGATGGCAGTTCTTGTTGGAAAGTCCTTACCTCTATCATGTTTCTCATGTGGAATCATGGAGTTGTGGCTTCCACTGCTGGTGGGCAGGCAGAGAGCGCCTCACCATGGCAGCGCAGCCAACGTGGAGCTCCCTATGGTGTCAGCACCAAGCCTCTCTGCCCTCCTGCACCAGGTCCTGCCTGCTGGGCCACAGAGGCCCCCGGGGGGGAGGGCAGCAGGGCGGACAGTGCTTAGTCTGCAGCAGGCTGCCTGCATCCTCCACTACCCTCCATGGGCTCCACTGGATTCTGCTTTGCCCGTGCTGCTGGGGAGTGGGGGTTCGAGATGGCCATATGTTCCACCTTTGCATTTTGAAAAGGTGGTCACCCTAGGTGCTGCCAAATTCCCAAAAAAGTGTGGAGGGGTACCCTGACTCTAAAAAGGTTGAGAACCACTGGTATAGAGACTAGTTGTGTATAATTTGTAAGGATTTTTAAAGAATAATGATGTCAGTAATATTGGCAGTTTAATTACCCCTCAAAGCTTGTCGTTTTTATTGTCTATCTGCACTTGTCTTTTGTGTAGGGTTTTACTAGTTGCCAGCATTAGTTGGGATGAATTTTTCTTTAATTAATACCTTAATTTACTTCCTAGCTAGATTTTGAGTTTCACAATTGTTCCAGTGTCTCAGCACCACAATGTTTCTGCAGGTAACACTGTTTTGCTATCTTACAAAGGCCAGAATATGAATAGAGTCCCTCACCAAATGCTAGCATTTTACAGCCACTTATGACAGCAGCATATAAGGGACTTTGGAAATAACTCAGAATGGTCTCCAAAATGCTCCATATATTACTGCGCTGATTGGCTCTCTGAAAGACATAGCACAGCAGTGTGGTTTGAGGAACAACCTTTTATATTGATGTTGCAGGATGATTAAGAACAGCTGGGAAATGAGTTATGCCCAATTCATAATCAAGAGGAGAATAATATTAAAAACAAACTAAATGAATACCAGGCTGGTATATGAACACAGAAGGCAATGTCAGACAAATTTGCAATAAAGAGTTTCTGGAGTATTTCTCTAAACTTCTTGTATCCTTTGTGATAAAAATTTGTGTAGCTGCTTCCCGACATTACTTTGAGACAATAGCATTTATCCTAAAGATCTTGTCCCCATTTATTTCTGGAGACATTCTTTTTGCATCTTTATCAAATGCTTTTAATACTGGGTATTTGATCAGTAAGCCTCATTTCTGAACCAGATGAATTGGTTGGAAAAAATAGAGGTAAGTAAGCACAATTCTGTTTGTAAAGGAAATCTGTGCTTCTCTGATCTTAAAATTATTTGACAATCAACTGCTTGATGTATAAATGAGAAATCAGACATACTTATTTGAACTTTCAAAAATTCTTTGATAAAGTCTCCTATAAATGGGCTATCAAGGAAGCTAATTTAATCATGGGATGCAAGATAAAGATCCATGATAGATGAGACAGTTAGAAACAAAGATCAGTTTTGCTTTAAGTGTATTTTGCTAGATATGTTGGTGTGCAAGATGTATCAATCCAGATGGATTGCTGTAAACCTATCATATTTAACATATGTATTAATGACATATGCTTAATGATGTGACAAAATTGATGAATACCACAAAATTACTTAGGTTAGTCAAATGTAAGGAATAATAGAGAATGAATAAACCTATATGATGGGGTTGGTGAAATTCAATTATGATAATGCATGTTGAAAAGGATATTTCCACCCTATTTAAACATATCTCCCACAACATTCTGATTAATAAGCAAGGGAAATACAGACTAGATCAGGGGTTTTCAACTTTTTTTTTTAACAAGTGTACTCCTTCTGATGGTGGCGGATGAAGGGATGCTCACATGCAGGGGCGGGGGGGTGCTCGCAC